TCTAATATTCCCAGCAAGAATAATTAACGTTGTCCTCAACAAAAAACATTATCTTATTGATTTCTTCTAATATATCTTGAAGATCGATTCCTTTGGGACAATATATGTTAATTATGAGCAGTTTAGTGTCCAGTTCATAAATTTTACAGCAGGTAATATATTGGTTGCTATGATTTTTGTGGAATAAAATAGGTATGTTCTTATTTTCCAGAATAATAACGCTCCACAGGTATTCATTAGATCCCTGAAGTATTACACTTTTAGTGGGTAAACAGTAGATTGCAGTAACTACAGAGGAATAACTTTACTGAATGTAGTTTATAAAATTTTTTCAAAAATAATAGCAAAAAGGTTGGCAGTATACATGGAAAAAAACAGTGGGAGATTATCAATGCGATTTTAGAAAAAACAGATTTCTTCACTAAGACTGATTCTAGAGAAATGATGTGAATATAATGTTGAGATACACCAACTTCTTGTACAAAATTATGATTGTATAAGAAAGAAAGATTGAGTGTGTCTACAAGAATTGAGAATCCCTTAAAAACTTAACTTTAGGAAAGACTGAGGGTATGGTTAAGATCCAGGTATATATTTCAAGAACATTTGCAATAAAAAAAGGGCTTAAGCAGGAAGATGCACTTTCTACAGTTTTATTTAACTTGGTATTAGAAGTAGTAATGAGAAAAGTATATGAAGAAATGAATGTGGATGCAGGTGGAACGGTTTTCAATAAACATTTACAGTGCTTAGCATTTGCCGATGATATTGTTATATTGGGAAGATCTAAAGAAGTAATTGAGGAGACATTTAAAATAATGGATGACGCAGCTATAGATAAAGGCTTAGCAGTTAACGATGAAAAAACAAAATATATGAAGTTAACAAAAAAAGAATGCCAGTGTCAAGGGGGCAAATTCTACATATAAAGGACCATAAATTCAAAAATGTGAATAAATTTCAATACTTAGGAACACAGTTAACGAAAAAGAATGAAATTGATGAGGAAATAAAAGTTATTATACATTAAGAAGAATTGTAACATCTAAAGAAATATCAAAATGCAGTAAGATTAGAATATATAAAACTATTATAATACCTGTAATCACGTATGGTTCCGAAACTTGGACACTGACAAGTAAACATGAACAGTTGAGAAGATTTGAAAGGAAAATTCTGAGAATAATATATGGACCAATGCAGGATAGAGGAGAGTGGAGAATTAGAAGTAATAAAGAACTCGAAGATTAATATGAAAATCCTGATATTGTAACAGAAATGAAGAGAGGGATTTCATTGGATTGGGCAATTAGAACCGGAGAGAAAAGTGTATCAGGTGTACAGAGAAAGGCCAGAGGGAAGACCAAGAAAGAGATGGGAAGAGGATGTGAAGATGATTTGAGAAAGATGGATATGAGTTGTTGGAAAGGGAAATCTCAAGAAAGAGAGGAATGGGTGAAAATCCTGGATGAGGCAAAAGTCCTTCAGGGACTATGAGTGCCAGAGAGAGAGAGAGACTGTAGTATTCTAATAGCAATGTAGTACAGTGGTGCCTCATATAACGTACGCCTCGAATAACGGACGCTGCGAACAACGGACTTTCCGTTCGGTAGTTATGTGAGACGAACAACATTTCTGCAAAAAAGTTGCGAATGATGTTTCCACTCTTTTGCCGTTGCCTCTACTATTTTTAGAATATATTAATAATATATTCTAAAAATAGTAGATTGTCATTGGCAACGGTAAAAGAGTGGAAACATCATTCGCAACTTTTTTGCAGAAATGTTGTTCGTCTCACATAACTACCGAACGGAAAGTCCGTTGTTCGCAGCGTCCGTTATTCGAGGCGTACGTTATATGAGGCACCACTGTACTACATTGCTATTAGAATACTACAGTCTCTCTCTCTCTCTGGCACTCATAGTCCCTGAAGGACTTTTGCCTCATCCAGGATTTTCACCCATTCCTCTCTTTCTTGAGATTTCCCTTTCCAACAACTCATATCCATCTTTCTCAAATCATCTTCACATCCTCTTCCCATCTCTTTCTTGGTCTTCCCTCTGGCCTTTCTCTGTACACCTGATACACTTTTCTCTCCGGTTCTAATTGCCCAATCCAATGAAATCCCTCTCTTCATTTCTGTTACAATATCAGGATTTTCATATTAATCTTCGAGTTCTTTATTACTTCTAATTCTCCACTCTCCTCTATCCTGCATTGGTCCATATATTATTCTCAGAATTTTCCTTTCAAATCTTCTCAACTGTTCATGTTTACTTGTCAGTGTCCAAGTTTCGGAACCATACGTGATTACAGGTATTATAATAGTTTTATATATTCTAATCTTACTGCATTTTGATATTTCTTTAGATGTTACAATTCTTCTTAATGTATAATAACTTTTATTTCCTCATCAATTTCATTCTTTTTCGTTAACTGTGTTCCTAAGTATTGAAATTTATTCACATTTTTGAATTTATGGTCCTTTATATGTAGAATTTGCCCCCTTGACACTGGCATTCTTTTTTTGTTAACTTCATATATTTTGTTTTTTCATCGTTAACTGCTAAGCCTTTATCTATAGCTGCGTCATCCATTATTTTAAATGTCTCCTCAATTACTTCTTTAGATCTTCCCAATATAACAATATCGTCGGCAAATGCTAAGCACTGTAAATGTTTATTGAAAACCGTTCCACCTGCATCCACATTCATTTCTTCATATACTTTTCTCATTACTACTTCTAATACCAAGTTAAATAAAACTGTAGAAAGTGCATCTTCCTGCTTAAGCCCTTTTTTATTGCAAATGTTCTTGAAATATATACCTGGATCTTAACCATACCCTCAGTCTTTCCTAAAGTTAAGTTTTTAAGGGATTCTCAATTCTTGTAGACACACTCAATCTTTCTTTCTTATACAATCATAATTTTGTACAAGAAGTTGGTGTATCTCAACATTATATTCACATCATTTCTCTAGAATCAGTCTTAGTGAAGAAATCTGTTTTTTCTAAAATCGCATTGATAATCTCCCACTGTTTTTTTCCATGTATACTGCCAACCTTTTTGCTATTATTTTTGAAAAAATTTTATAAACTACATTCAGTAAAGTTATTCCTCTGTAGTTACTGCAATCTACTGTTTACCCACTAAAAGTGTAATACTTCAGGGATCTAATGAATACCTGTGGAGCGTTATTATTCTGGAAAATAAGAACATACCTATTTTATTCCACAAAAATCATAGCAACCAATATATTACCTGCTGTAAAATTTATGAACTGGACACTAAACTGCTCATAATTAACATATATTGTCCCAAAGGAATCGATCTTCAAGATATATTAGAAGAAATCAATAAGATAATGTTTTTTGTTGAGGACAACGTTANTTTTATGGAAGAAAATTCAAACAGCCGTAGTCCGTAAACTTGACACGTGTTGGGGTGTGATTGGAAGGATTCATAAGAAATCGGATTCCTAAAGAATGGAACGTATCTATATCTTATAGGGGGGTCGACTGTATATAGTTAATTGGAGCCTCCTGCCATATTCCATATTTGGTCTCAATTTCATGTATCTAACTCTGTTCTCGAGATTAAGGAAGGACAGACAACAGTGGGAATTTATAGGTCTACAATTTTTTCAAATTGCAGCCCAAATATTTTATAAGATATTTAGTATGAGGTTTACGCTGTATTGTGCTGTATTCTATCATGGTTTCAAATAAACTTACTAAAAGAAAATAATTTAAATACACACGGTGGATGTCACTAAAAGTATCAGTGCATTTATTGTATAGTAAAGTATCAAATAATGCCAAATTTTTTTTCCACAACTTTTTCACGAGTTTTCATGATATTAAAAAATCAGGGAAAAAACTTATACGTTTCTACTGAAGTCTGCTTATGCTAAAAAAGCAGCATTAACAGTTTCAAATCTTAAGGAAATAACTGTTAATGCAGTATACTTTTGCTAATCTGAACTAATTATTGTAAAGGATTATTGCCATAAAAATTAGCAAACCAACAAGGATTTGTTGGAATCAAACAAAAATTGTACATTTAATTAGGTTTCCATTAGAAACCTAATTAAATGAAAGAAAGAAGAAAGAAAGAATTACCAAAGAAAGAAAGCCACTAGCTTTTAATTCTATAAAATTGTACATGTGTGAATGTAAAGGTGATATTATTGTTTGCTTTCATTTTGAAATCACTTATTTATTGCAGCAAAACCTACAATTGAAAAGAAACCTACCGTGATACCAAATGTTCCTCACCCAGGCACTTTGAAATGGTACAGACCCAGAGGTCTGTAATGATGGCTCCACTTGTGCCTGGATGGTGAACAATACGCTCTCGGCAGTGACCACTAGCCAAGGGGATTGCCTGGTCCTCTCGGTTTTGGCTCGGGTGTTAAATGTGTCGAGGGAACATTTAGAGGTAAAATGAACAAATTTAATTAGAATTAAGTGGAATTTGTATTAGCAAGAAAGCACTGCAATGAAGTTATTTTATTTGCTACTAGATGTAATCATTAGGTACCATCTACCTCTAGTAGCAAATTACTGTACTTAGTATTAATTATTAAAAATAGTGGATTTATAATCAAGTATTTAAGGCAATCGTTTGGCTATGTATGATCTTTGGAGATCAGATTCTACTATTATTGTTGCAATCATATTTTTAATTGTTTGTCAATAACTTGGTTTTGCTAGTACAAACAAGTTCTTTTACTGTACTCCTTAGCTGGAAAATGATGAAAGGAGATAATTGTCTGCAAAATTAGCATTTTTTGAAATATCCTGAATATTTAAAATATTACAAGAATTTAGTTTAATCAAAATCTGCCATTTTGTATAAATTAGTAAATGACTTATCCTTTATCATACATTTAATAGTGTTTCAATCTATATACGAATTGTTAAAGTATTGATTGCTAATTTAATAACATTTACATAATATTTACTGGCATTTATATACTTTTTCAAATTTGCCGTAGGAAACGTATCCGTCCTTTCACTACACGTCATTAATCTACTTGAATGATTACAACAAGGACTTCACGGGAGGACGTTTCGTGTTTGTCGGAAAGGACTTAAACATGACGGTGGAACCGAAAGCCGGTGAGTCGATATTTTAGTATGTAATAAAATACAATTTATTAAAATGTTGTTGTACATTTTGGTAGTTTCCAATTTTGAACATAATTCTCCAACATGTAAAACATTATCTCTACGATAAATTATGCATTTTACAATTTAATTACAACTTTTTTCATCAGATGAATTCATTTTATTAATGAATTATTTATTGACTTTGATGATGAGATGCAGATTTGCATTAACCCATTTGCAATCATTTGCCAATATATCGTCAAATAGATAATTAATGACACAAATCGCTTGACGATTTATCGTCAAACTGAGAATTTACGATTCTCATAAAACATTCCATTCATAGATGGCACTACATTACTATAGGTTATTCTGTACACTGTGTTTCACATACATACTACTAGATTAAATGTTATTTTAAGAAATTTCTTGCTTTAAAAAATTTTGATTGTGTGTGAAAAAACTGTTTGTTTTAATGTTCAGAACAAAATGGCCATTTGTACAGGGTTACTCATGGAAATGAACTGTATAATCGAAAAATTTTATCTATGATCGAATTGTGTAAATTATAAAATAATAATCAAACTGTCATTTTTAACATATTTTCTTTGGGAGAAATTTTTTATGCTAGAAAATAAATTTTACTACCATAAACAACAAAGTAACATATATATGTGGATTTTTTGTGAATTTTTAAATGATATAAGTGAAATGACCTTGAGTGAGTAAAGTTTGCAGTGATCATTGTCAAACAATGAATAGTGAAATGTCATGGCCTTAAAAGGGTTAATATTAAGCATAAAAATTTACTTTCAACACTGTGTGTGTGAAAAATAGCATATTATTTGTCTGAAGACATTTAGAAATAGAATACAAAGATGGTTTTGTAAAATTTTTATTCACTTGTGATAAATGATTAAAATAAGATATAGCAAGTATATAATGCAATGTGTGTTTATGAACTTAACAAGAAGTAAATAATTAAATTATCTATTCAATTCAGATGATCTTAAAAGAATGAGATCATTTAATAAGTTTCTAGTAGCAACTGCCATACTGTTAATGTAATTCCCTTAAGGGTTTCAAGTTTGCCATCATATGTGCAATTTACGATTTTGGTTTCATCCCATTTTTGTTGTTAACCTAAGTATGCAAGCAAACAAGGTATATTGCTATTTGGAATATATTTGTGCTCAGGCTTGAAAAATTGATTTCTGAGGCAAAGGATCAGCAGTATGGAGTATATTTTGTGTGTCTGGCATCATTGGTTACTAATTATGTCTTTACTAATGGCTGCTTTCATATGCTAAATTGGCTTTGACTTTTTTGGCTACAATTTTATAAGTCTGGCTCAATTTGGAGTCAAAGTCAACTGCAGTACATTTTTTGCTGTTGTATTTACAGCTCCAGTTATTGGGTTTTTGTATTGTGTGGTTTAGCCTGTTTATTAATGTAGCTATAGCATATAGTTACAATGTATAAAACACACAGCTGTAATTCACAATGCACCTTCAGTGCTAGAGCAATGGGTAAACACTTTGAATTAGTGGCATTTAGGGCACTATTTTATAAGTATGCGGGGGTCATTAGATGTTGAAGAGAGGAAGGTAGGTTATAGATTAGGTTGTAGCTATATGACTGTCAAAAAAGTGGGCTTCTCTATCACTTTCTTAGTCTAATTTTAATGTAAACCAAAATTGATTGTGTAATAGATGCAGTATTTTGCAAATTTTCAATAGCAATGTTCTTATTTTAAGGGCTAAACCTATGTAGCATGCATATTCTATAATTTCCGACTCTAAAGGACTAGTTTTTCTAATTAACGCTTTTGAAGTATTTATTGTGCCTGCTCCAAGATCCCCACCTTGATATGAGCAGGCTTGCATGCCCTACAGAGACTGTGAACTATGTCAATGGGTCCCATGCTGGGGATAGGAGCCAGAGTTCAAAGATGGGATCAGTTGTCCTCCACACTAGGGATTGTGCATGAGGCTAATACTCCCATGTAAAAACTCTCCTTTTGCCTTTTTTTAACAAGAGAAAGGCGGTGGGGGTCCTGACTTGGAGTTGTCCTCCATCAAACATGAATTGACAGGACCAGAATAGGCAGAAAGAAAGTGGAAGTGTGAATGTCGTTTGGGTGTGCGGAATGTAAGAGGAGCAAAAGGTAAAGGAATTAATAAGAGAAATAGCTGAAAATAAGTTAATGTTCTTTGTATGAGTGAAAGGCAAGGAGTGTAAGAATGTATTCAACTGGTCTTGTGTGCAAGAGATAGAGCAAGTAAATAAAAGAGTGTCATTCTGATGTGGGTGCACTTCAATGCAAAGTGAAATTGTGTATGCCCCAGAGGTGTTGTAAAAAGTTGAGAGACATCTTAGATAATCACACGTTCATGAGGGTCTCGCTTATAACAAGATATGAATGGATGGGTGGATGTCAGAGAATTCTGAGTCTGGTGATTCCCGGGTGAACCATTGGTTGAGTCCTGAGTGAAAAGAGACCTATAAGTGTCAACACCTTTTTTCCACATAGGAAAATCATACGAAATATCAAAAGAGTATAATGATGTATCCACCACTGCATCTTTCAATCTAAGTGTTTACTGTGACTCAGACTATTACTTAATAGTATCGAAGGAGCAACTGAAGATTGTTTTCCTCTTATGAGTATAGAGAGCATGTGGAAAGTGGAAATGCTTCCAAACCTCCTCCAATCTTGTATAGTATAACAAGAGTGGATCTTGAGAGAGGGACAGTGTGGTGAAAGAGAAAAAGGCTGCATACATATGTAGTGTGAGTGAGAATGAGTGCAAAGTGAAGAAACAAGAAGCTGCATATGTGGTAAATGGTGAGCTAATGTGGGATGAATTGTGGTGGTGTGAATATTTTGAGAACCTGTTGAGGGGCAGTGTAGATATCTCTGCAACTGTTCCTCTATTCATGCTAAATGAAGATAATCAAATAGTAATGGATGTAGCACTGAGTTAGGTTAGGAATGCAATAAGAAGGGAGAATGTGAAATGGTAAATCTTTTAATTAGCACTTCAGTAACCATACCATCCAGACCAAAATATGGAGGGAAAAATAAATTGTAGAGTTGGGGTATCCATTCTTCATGTTGGGATATGAGCACGATGCCATGTGATTGGAGACATGCTCTGATTGTTCCAACATAAAAGGGCAGACTGCAATTACTTCTGTGGCATAAATTTGTCGAGCACACTCGGAAAAGTGTTTGCACGAGTGTTGGTCGACAGAGTTGAGAAGCCAAGTGCAACGTGAACCATATCTTCGCACCCCTTCCCTTCAAACACTAGTGTTTATAGTATGCTTTTTATAGATCAGCAGAATGAATAGGGAGAAACTGGAATGAGAAGTAAACTACAGTTATTAATGTGTAAGAGCAATGTATGAAAACAGCAAAGCATGTGGATACTTAGATGGTAAAGTGTCTGAAGGTTCATAATTTAGGAAGATATAAGGCAAGGATTGTTATGTCTCACTGGTTGTCTTATGTGTTCATGGATGCACGAATGAGGAGATCCAGAGAGTGCCCAAGTGTGGAATGAGAATTAAATGTCATCTGCACATGCCAATTCCAATAGAATCATTGTGCTAATAGCACAGAGCAAGGAACAGCTTCAGATACTTGTTTCTAATCTTGAAGGTGTGTGGAGTGAATTGTGATTGCTCACCTTTGTGTTCAAGCACATACACATTGCATAATTGTTCTGGAATGAACAACCAGAACAACTACTAATCAAATACTCTGTTGGAACAAATGTCCCAACAGAGTATTTGATTTTTGGTTGCACAAGTTCCAACTACTAATCAATCTTATTTTTTAGGCCCATCTGCTTTAAAAAACTATTTAACTGTCACCATTTTAATATACTTTAGAATCACAATAGAATCATTGGATTTTGTAATCTGGAATCAAACAGACCAGATAATGGTTACTTTTGTGATCATTTTTGTGCAACTCAGCAAAGGTAGAGAACCTTAAATGGCAATTTATACAGAAAATCATACAGATGAGGTCACATAATGAGAAATACTCTAATAATCTAGTTTTAACAAAAACATCTCTTTTCAGGCCGTGTGTCAGCATTTACTTCAGGTGCGGAGAATCCCCACAGAGTAGAAAAGGTGACAAGCGGGACAAGATACGCACTGACCGTGTCTTTTACCTGCGACAAGAGTTCGAGTATAGCCGATCCCACTCTAAAGAAGTAAAATTATTTTTACATTTATTCGATATTAATTACTCCTGGAAAAAAAATCATTAATACTTGGAAAAATAAATGCTCATAGATGAATAAGGATTATGTTTGCATTCCACAAACTTTTTATCGAGAGAGGTTATCTTGTACATTCAAAAGTTGATGTTTTTATATTAAACGTTGAAAATTTTTTAAATTAATTTTTTCCTCATTATTTACAAATAAAATTACAAGACTGTGGTACAGTAATATATTTTTATTCCAGTTTGTCACTTAACACAAACCCAGTTTAAATTAACTATTTAGGAAATTTAATCATTAAAAACAAGAATTTAAGATGCATAATTTATATGTTCAAGAAGTTGGTGTTGTGACTGCTTTTGGTACAGTACAATGAAAATCAAAGCTAAATGAGGATATATTTATGTATGGTTCATTTATCATCAATGAACAGTATGCTAATTTTTTCTCTATACCATAATACAGTGGTGCCTCGTATAACATACTTAATCCGTTCCAGGTGCACGAGTGTTGGTCGACAGAGTTGAGAAGCCGAGTGCAATGTGAACCATATCTTCGCACCCCTTCCCTTCAAACATTCAAACACCAGTCTTTATAGTATGTTTTTATAGATCAGCGGAATGAATAGGGAGAAACTGGAATGAGAAGTAAACTACAGTTATTAGATGTGTAAGAGCAATGTATGAAAACAGCAAAGTATGTCGATGCTTTGCTGTTTTCATACATTGCTCTTACACATGTAATAACTGTTGCGAAATCATGCATTTCGTATAACGGACTTTTCACTTAACGTTTGTTAAGTGAAAAGTCCGTTATACGAAATGCATTTTCCCATAGAAATACATGTTAAAACATATAATTTGTTCTGCAGCATAAAATAACTGTACTGCACCATAAAAAAAATGAAAATGGAGCAGTCACCAATTATACCAGGTAGTCAGATGTTGTGAGGAGGAGGTGGAGAAACACTTTCACACAGATTCAGACTTTTTACACATTGCAGCGGGTCTCTTTTTATTGGTTTTTAATCTGAGTCAGATTCTGGAGAAGCTACCGGAACTTGCAGGGTCACTCCTCTTGTTCCATCCTTTGTTTTTTTGGCAGCTGGCTTCTTGAAAAACATGTCCAAGGTGATCTGTTTCTCTCTCTTCTTCAACACCTGTCAGAAATGACAGACAAGAGTGTCATTGTAGAGATCACTGATCCTGTTGGCCTCAGCTCTGTTTGGATAATGAGTGTTTGTAAACTCCTGAACCTCTCCCCATTTGACAAAGAATCCTTGTCAACTTTCACTCCTGATGATTTCTTGTTTTGTTTCAATTGAAATCACCTCTCTGTTTTTTTAGAAGCCATGATTTGCACAACACTTGAATAAATGTAAATACCCTGCACTGAGGTGATGTACGGTATGTAATAAACAAGGGAGGAAACCGAATCCCAACGGGAGCTCTGTACAATGACAATCTACTATTTTTAGAATATATTAATAATATATTCTAAAAATAGTAGATTGTCATTGGCAACGGTAAAAGAGTGGAAACATCATTCGCAACTTTTTTGCAGAAATGTTGTTCGTCTCACATAACTACCGAACGGAAAGTCCGTTGTTCGCAGCGTCCGTTATTCGAGGCGTACGTTATATGAGGCACCACTGTACTACATTGCTATTAGAATACTACAGTCTCTCTCTCTCTCTGGCACTCATAGTCCCTGAAGGACTTTTGCCTCATCCAGGATTTTCACCCATTCCTCTCTTTCTTGAGATTTCCCTTTCCAACAACTCATATCCATCTTTCTCAAATCATCTTCACATCCTCTTCCCATCTCTTTCTTGGTCTTCCCTCTGGCCTTTCTCTGTACACCTGATACACTTTTCTCTCCGGTTCTAATTGCCCAATCCAATGAAATCCCTCTCTTCATTTCTGTTACAATATCAGGATTTTCATATTAATCTTCGAGTTCTTTATTACTTCTAATTCTCCACTCTCCTCTATCCTGCATTGGTCCATATATTATTCTCAGAATTTTCCTTTCAAATCTTCTCAACTGTTCATGTTTACTTGTCAGTGTCCAAGTTTCGGAACCATACGTGATTACAGGTATTATAATAGTTTTATATATTCTAATCTTACTGCATTTTGATATTTCTTTAGATGTTACAATTCTTCTTAATGTATAATAACTTTTATTTCCTCATCAATTTCATTCTTTTTCGTTAACTGTGTTCCTAAGTATTGAAATTTATTCACATTTTTGAATTTATGGTCCTTTATATGTAGAATTTGCCCCCTTGACACTGGCATTCTTTTTTTGTTAACTTCATATATTTTGTTTTTTCATCGTTAACTGCTAAGCCTTTATCTATAGCTGCGTCATCCATTATTTTAAATGTCTCCTCAATTACTTCTTTAGATCTTCCCAATATAACAATATCATCGGCAAATGCTAAGCACTGTAAATGTTTATTGAAAACCGTTCCNATGGTATATACTTATAGTCACTTACTGTAGTGTCATTTTCAACCTTCCAGTAGTGTATATGTTACTGTGAAAGACCGATATCTGGCAAATGTCGAGATTCTCCAGTGAATGTCAGCATTCACAGTTGTTTCATGTATGTACAAAATATTTGCTAAATATCATTATTTCTCACTTACACCAGCAAATGTCGACATTCGGCATGCACTGATGGTGAATGTTGAATAAAAATATTTTTACAACTGCATTTAGTCGTGGAACAGTTCTTTTTGCAATCAGTGTGTGTAGCCTTGCCTTCCACTTCTCGAATTAGTTGCGTCTGCTTCTCTTGGGAACAAATCTTATCTAATCTAACATTGCATGCACCAACAAACCTTGCATAAGACTGACAAACAGCAGTGTTTGAGAGTGTTTGATAACAAATAGATGCGGCTTGTCGTTTTGACCTCTACCAAAGCTTATCTGTGCTTGTCAACATACACCGGCAATTGTTCGAACGTGTAATAATATAACCAAATATTTGGTCTTTGACCGACGTATTTTGTATGTGTCGACATTCACCGGAGAATACTGACATTCTCTAATTTTGGTCTTTCGCAGTGACATATTTATTTGTAAATGTTAGAGGAGTTAGCCGAGATGTCTATCCAACTTTTTCTTCTGCTTGATTCAAAAGTTGGAGGTGAGTAACAGTTGTTCAAGATGATATCTTTAGAAAGTTCCCGTTTTTTTTGTCTCTATTAACTTGCACCTCCCAAGTTGGGGAGTGCAAGTTAATAGAGAGGTTGAGGCGCACGTTTTAAACGTGTAAACATGTACGTGTGACGTTCGGCGCCGCTTTCCCGTAAGCCTAAAAGTTTGACGATGGTGTTTGAAATGTCGAGCGTGATTCCACCGACTATCCAAACACCATTGTCAAACTTTTAGGCTTACGGGAAAGCGGCGCCGAACGTCACACGTACATGTTTACACGTTTAAAACGTGCGCCTCAACCTCTCTATTAACTTGCACTCCCCAACTTGGGGAGGTGCAAGTTAATAGAGACAAAAAAACGGGAACTTTCTAAAGATATCATCTTGAACAACTGTTACTCACCTCCAACTTTTGAATCAAGCAGAAGAAAAAGTTGGATAGACATCTCGGCTAACTCCTCTAACATTTACAAATAAATATGTCACTGCGAAAGACCAAAATTAGAGAATGTCAGTATTCTCCGGTGAATGTCGACACATACAAAATACGTCGGTCAAAGACCAAATATTTGGTTATATTATTACACGTTCGAACAATTGCCGGTGTATGTTGACAAGCACAGATAAGCTTTGGTAGAGGTCAAAACGACAAGCCGCATCTATTTGTTATCAAACACTCTCAAACACTGCTGTTTGTCAGTCTTATGCAAGGTTTGTTGGTGCATGCAATGTTAGATTAGATAGATTTGTTCCCAAGAGAAGCAGACGCAACTAATTCGAGAAGTGGAAGGCAAGGCTACACACACTGATTGCAAAAAGAACTGTTCCACGACTAAATGCAGTTGTAAAAATATTTTTATTCAACATTCACCATCAGTGCATGCCGAATGTCGACATTTGCTGGTGTAAGTGAGAAATAATGATATTTAGCAAATATTTTGTACATACATGAAACAACTGTGAATGCTGACATTCACTGGAGAATCTCGACATTTGCCAGATATCGGTCTTTCACAGTAACATATACACTACTGGAAGGTTGAAAATGACACTACAGTAAGTGACTATAAGTATATACCATTTGAAATCAACATTCTAGAGGAACCAAGATATTGCACAGCCTGAGCAGACTGGGAAAGATGGAGAACATACATTATGGATAAAACTCCCTCACTCTCAACGGAAGAGGCTGAGAAAGATTAATAATTATGAGATTTCGTTCAAAGACATGTGTGAGATAGCTATACCGAAATACAGAGCCTAGAATAAACTGGTCTCCTGGTGGAATGATACTCTGTCTGAACTGAGGCTCACAAAAAAGTATCAAAAAACTAAAGGGGATACACAAAAGTTGATCTACAAGAAACAATACTTACAGCTACAAAAAGAATACAAAAACCTAATATAAGATTCTAAATTGAAATCCTGGAGAGAATACTGCACTAGAGCTAGCAAAGACCCTGGGTGTTTCTTACCTAGTAGAGCTGTAACAGATAAAGAAGAATGAAGGCTGTGACCACCATGAAAACTGCAAAATGACATACAAATGATCTGCAACTACCATCTACTATATTTCAAAAAATGTGTGTAGAAAAGAATAAAAATGAAGATCGACATTCATAGTGAAATCAGAGAGAAGATAAATGTAGATATTAACACCCGACACACCACCTTTCACAAGCAAAGAAGTTGGCAAAGTAATCACTAACCTGAATAACAGAAAAATCCCTGGGCTTGACAGAATTACCCCAGAGATCAAACAAATTTGGAATAAAAATCCAACACTTCTTCTTTATCTCTTAAATACTTGCCTATATTTCAGCATTTTCCCCAGGGAATGGAAGAGAGCCAAGTTGGTACTTGTCTCTAAAGTAAATAAACCTGGAGATTACAGACCAATTTCCCTGTTACCTGCACTACGGAAAGTAATGGAAAAACTGCTTACAAACACTCTCTTGGCACCTTGAGTCAAATAAACTACTGAGTGACAATCAGTAAGTTTTTAG